AGCAGAAAATTATTAGAGAGAAGAAAAAAAGGAGAGAGGGTTCGGGAAAGAATTTGCGCATGGGGATAATTTTCCCAGACTCACAAAAATGAGTTTGATCCAAGAAAATTGAAAAGGCCAAGGTTGAAATATGTAAATTCAAACTCATTTGAATTTCACTCAAATGGGTTTGAACTAGGACTTGGTTTTTGAAGTGTCCAAAAATGTTGAGATTTTTGGTGGAGCTCCGGAAAATGATGAAAGAAATTATGGGCAAGGTTGGAGACCAAGAATTGAGATAACAACGGCATGGGATATTTTGCAAGTGGGTTATGGTTAATTCCAAATAAATGGAATAATTTTATTATAGCTCCCTAATAATATTGAGAGGCTTTAATATGTGATAAAGAGAAATCACAAGTGAATTCCCTCGATTTAAATGGATCGAAAAATCCATACAATTTATTTAGAAGAGTTATAAAAATTAATGATATGATGGCATGATGAAACGATGCAATGCAAGAGATGACATGATGCAATGCAACAAGCAAATAAAACACACGGCGAAACTCGGAATAGCTGAAAGTCTTCTGGGGTGTCGGTCTCGGGGTGTTACAATCGAGGTGATACAATCGCATCGAAAGAAAGTCCGGCCTCTGCATAGCTAGATGCACACAGACAAAAAAGTCCAGAGTACCCTAAAAGCAAAAAATAATTCGATACAACGCCAATCAAAAAAAATGTCCAGCCTAAGGAGTGGCAGATCCTATCCGTAGGTCACACCGCCATCCATGGGGGTAGAAAAACTCCCTGGCCATACGCTCCAGCCGTGTAGACGCCATCATAAAAAGGTCTCTGTCCTCCGGCCTCTGCAGGATAGACCAAGTACGGAGTCATCGTGTACACACATGAATAACCTGCATAGGAGATGCGACACATTTGTTATTAAAAATCACATCATTGCTGGTAAGCCACAATGCCCAGCATAAGGCCGCCGCTCCCACAAAAATATGTGCAGAAAATTGTTTATCAATACCCCGCAACCAGTTGCCGAACATGTTCCGTGCACTACGTGGTGGGTATAGATTCGAAGCTACTTGAACTATGGCCCAAACTGCCCGAGCGAACTTGCACTCAAAAAATAAGTGTTTAATAGACTCGTCATGTTGGCAAAAGACACATGTCCTGGAACCATGCCAGTTTCGTCGTGCCATATTGTCTCTAGTTAGGATGACTCCTCTGTTAAGAAACCAAAGGAAAATCTTCACTCTTAGAGGGATTTTGAGCTTCCACAATTTCCTGTTATCAACTGGAACATCGCAATGAACCATTGCATCATACATGGATTTGATTGAAAATTTGCCATTCTGATGCAAGTTCCATCGAAAAATGTCCGGCTCACCTGACAGTTGAATGTCCTCTAGGCGAGTGAGTAATTCATTCCATGCTGCCAGGCGAGGGCCAAAAAGGTCCCTACGAAAAGAAATAACAGGATTTTCTTGTCCTAAAACTTGTTTGATTGTGACGAATTTATGTCTAACAATCCTATACAAGCTCGGATATTGCACCATTAGTGGGTTATTCCCTAGCCAGGTATCTTCCCAGAATCGAACCTGAGAATCGTCCCTAACTGAGAAGGTCCCAAATTGGAAAAAGAATTCCTTGGCCTTCACCACACCACTCCAGAAATGCGAATCCCTTGGTTTCCAATGAACTTGAGAAATGGCATTGGATCCCACATACTTGTTGCGAATGATTTCCTGCCATACTCCATTCTCACTGAGTAGTTTGTAAACCCACTTGCTGAGAAGAGCAATGTTTTTAATCTCAAGGTCTTGGATTCCCAGCCCCCCTTGACTCTTAGGTCTGCATAATACGCTCCACCTAGCCGGTCGATATTTCTTGAATTCGTTATCGCATTGCCAAAAAAATCTGGATCTAAAGTAGTCTAGTCGCTGGAGAACCCCTCTCGGTATGTGGAAGAATGACAACATATATAAAAATGTTGCTTAGAACTGAATTGATCAAGATCAATCGTCCCCCGTAAGACAAGAGCTTGGCCTTCCAACTGGCTAAGCGTTTCTCAAGTCTCTCTTCCACATGCTTCCACTCAGCGATAGTTTTTAAAAATGGGAGAGATTTTCACTTCCCGGCCTCTGCACCAACCAGGGATGCATACAACCATTTTAGTATGAGTACCAAGATAAACATGGTTCTCAGAATTTTTTAAATGAGTATCAAGATATTTCTTGATGAGAGGTTACACCACACACCAAACTTGATCCTCAATAAACGGGGAAAAACCCTGTGCATAATTTGTCAATTCTATGAATTGAACCCGGGTCGCTAGACTACACGGTTTGGAGGACCAGCCTGAAAATTTACTCATGCATGAACGGCCAAAAATTCTACTACCATCTCATATATGTACGGACGAAATAATTCTACGACCAAAAATTAAGAAACACACCTCTAGGTGTAGATATAGATTGGGATACTGTATTATTGTCCAAATGGCCAATACCACCATGGAAACAACAGGCAGGTGCTCCATAAATACCATGTACTCCTACTCCTAGCTTGTTTCAGGTGCGAGAGCGTGGGATCCCTGAGCAGTAGCAGTGGTCCTTTTGTTTGAGGGCAATTCTAGCCTCTAGCTGAGCCTCCCTGCCAACAGCAACAGCTAGGCTTGCACAGAGATTCCCGCCAGATCTTTAGGCTGCCTAGCTTGATCATTTGCATCTATCTGCCCGCACAGCTAGAGCAGCAGCAGACGTAGATGCAGATGATACTTACTAGTAGTATGCGTACATTGTTTAGAGCAAAAACCAAGCAGATACTTGTCCTTGAAAAAGCCACCCAACTCTCTCTCTCTCTCTCCCCCCATGGTTTCTCGTGTGTTCCTCCATGCTGGATCTTCAAAATCATGCACCCTGCTGATTGATCTCGCATGCATGCATGCGCGCGCGCGCATCTGCGGCACTGTAGGCTGCCGCTGTTGCGTCCTCCCCCACACCCTCCCTGCTGCCAAGGAGCGTTTGGACGCATCGCCTTGGCCCGGTCTCACCTCCTGCCCCAGCCATCGCCCCTGCATGCTCTGCTTGCTTGCATTTGCTCAAGCAGGCGTGAAAGGTGAGCACTCACTCGCTGCTGCTTGCAGCTTGCAGCCTGGCCGCAAGGGGGGCAGCAGCGGCACTGTAGCGGACGAGAGCAAGTGGCGCCTGCTCGTGCTTAGAAAGAAGAATTGTTCCTTTGCCACAATCGCCTGAACCCTGAAGCCAGCCACATGCATGCTACGTATAAACAGTGCTACGAATGAATGAATGAGCGAATGATACACACGGATACTACCACTGTGGTAGCAGGATAGATAAGCTAGCGGCTAGGCGTATGTTGTTGGTTACTTAACAGACATTCATGAGATGATGCATTTTATATACACACTGATGCAGTGTGCGGCGATTGAGCACTGGACTAATAATAATCTACTAGTTCATGGTTTGTCCTGCAGGTGCATGGGGATTGAAACAGCACAATCATGAGGCGATAAACCACCATAAATTAAACAAACTGAATCCATCGCCACATGTTGGGCAGCACTATTCTTCTACACCCTTCCCTCCATGATCCAACCAAAGCCCATGCCCCGTCCTTTTCCCTGCTTTGCTACGTATGGGCATCAGCAACTTTCAGTTTTTGGTATGCATTAAAACGCCGCTGGCCCCTCCTGGAGCAGAGCAGAGCAGCGTAGGGCCCCTCTCGTCTCTGTTCCTGGTGGCTTGCGTGCATGTGTGCATCAGAGAGAGAGAGAGAGAGAGCGCCCTGCCGCCCAAGATCTCTCTTGATCAGTGCCGAGATCATCAATCAGAGGGGCCTGCCAACCAAGTGGGCATCTCCATTTTTCTTCCTCCTCGTGCTGGTTTCCGAGCCTGATAAAACCACCCTCCCTGGCCTCTCCCAATTGCTCCCCAGCTTCTTTCTCGCCTGCTAGGAAGTAGTACTAGAAAGTAGAAACAGAGGGGAAATAGAGAGATCGCCTCAGCGTCGTCGTCACGAGCTGCAGCCCATCCGCATTGCAGCCGTGATATCAGGAAATGCTCTCGTTTCCATTTTAGGGTCCGTATGCTAGCTCCAACTTCTTCTTCTTCCTCCTCGCTGATCATCTCCTCTCCTGCGGTGCTTGGAAAGCCCTGCTGCTTTTGCTGCCTCACTCGCCCTCGCTAGCTAGCCGTTCCAGGTTGAAAGCCCCTTGAGGTAGGACGGAGGTGCATGTGGTTGGCGGTTCATAGGCCGTCGCCGTCGCCGGTGCTTTCTCTCTCCATGATTGTTTAAGGTTCGGCTACTAATCCCTAGCTCCGGAGGGCTTCCTCGGCTGTTCCCACTTTGGTTCTTCAACATTATTTCACTTCTTGTTTTTGCGATTACTATCTCTTTGTGTGGTACGGCTTGGAATGGAAGATCTCTAGTGATTGCGCTGTTGGTTCTCATGTTGAATATTGAATGTTGAAAAAGAAAAAGGTTCCTCAAGGGAATGTTGAATGAGCAGTTGGATAAGCACAATTTCTTATGAGAGCGGCTACTGCAACTCATGCCCATATAGCCTTTCTCCATTTATTCTGGCGCTTTTCTTGCGCTGCCCCATTTTGAAATTCCAGGACAAACAACCTGTTTTACTGTGTGCTTTAGGTGGCTTTTTTCTAGATCAGCTATGCTTTAGATTTCTGCATTTTTGTGCCAAGGCTAGCAAGTAGGTGGTGTTTTTCTGTTCTTGCCGCAAATTAGGTGAACTTTTTTCCTCCTCCTGTGGTCAGTGCTGTGCAATTTGGTGTGCATTTCTGCCTGCTACAATTCGCACAGTAGCTCACCTTGCATCTTCAACTTTGTGAAGGAACAATCTGTTAACTGTGTCTTGATGTCACCAATTATTTGGCTCACATATACTACTGCTGCTTTGCTTCAGGTCTTTTAAAATTGGTAGTGTGCAAGATTTGTCTTTGGCGACTACGGAGCTAGGCCTCAAGATGTCTAGCAATCCATCCTATCAGCAGCAGCTGGGGTTCGATGCCATGAACACTTGTTTCTTCGGCGGCAGCGGCATGATCGGTTCTTCCGAAGCGCCATTCTTCTACCCAAGCATGCCTCACGATGCAGGCTTCGCCTCCGGCGGCGCGGAGGTGGCCGCGCATTTAGTGGCCAGCAGCGCCGTGATGGTCACTTCGCCGGCGAACCAGCTCGTGTGGTCCGCCGCTCCTTCGCGGGACAGCCACCAAGCGAGCATGTCCACGGATGAGATGAACGACGACGCCTACGCCGTCGCTGGCGAGAGCTGCAGCACCGTGCACTCCATGCTCCCTTCCGCCTCCGGCTCGGCGGACTTCTTCCAGTACGGGCCGGGGGAAGTCACCATCGCCCAGCCGTCAAAGATGGCCAAGCTCATAAGTGGAGAGCCACACTGTGGCTGGCTCTACGACGGACCAAGCGCTGCCTCCACCCACCAGCCGTATTACCCGACGGCGTTCTCCGGCGGCGGCGACCTTCCGGACGCGGTCGCCGGCGCGGCGAGCGGTCTCTCGCTCAGGCTAGGTGCCCAGTCTTCCTCGGTCACCATGGCGAGCATGCCGGAGCAGTCCTCGGAGGTGAGCTGCTCCGGCCTGACCCATGTGAACAGCGAAGGCTTTGGCTACCAGCAGCCTCAGGCCGTCAGGGCTCACGCCGGCGCCGGCCAGTTCCATCTGCCTCCTTACGGCGATGTCGGTGCCGGCGACTACGAGCTGCGGCACGTGTACCCACAGATGTATTCGAGGCCTCCGCACTTCTCGCAGGTGCTGCCGCGGTCGGGATACGCGCACATTGCTCAGGAGCTGCTGAATGGGTTCGCCGGCTGCCTGCTGAAAGACGTGGCCGAGATGACTGATGATTCAGTCAGCGACATTGGCAGCGAGGCGAGCCTCCTGCTCTCATCGAGCTGCTCGGCGAGGACGCCGTCGTCGGTGAGCTCCAACCACCTGATGCTGCCCTCCGAGGAGCACTCAGCCGACGGCGGGAGGTGGATGGAGGCTCAGAGGGTGAGGAACGATCTCCTGAAACTGCTGCAGCTGGTGAGCGAGCACCTGAATTTCATCTCAACTTCAGACTGTTTTTACCATAGTCAAAAAAAAAAAAACTTATGGCAGAGCCTGTTGGATGGATGCAGATGGATCAGAGGTGCAACCGGTGCTTCGACGATATCCAGACCACGGCGTCCAAGTTCAGCAGCATGGTGGCGCATCCGGGCGGCGGAGGCGGCGCCATCGCCCCGCCGCCGTTCGCGCAGCGGGCGCTCTCCGCGGTGTACCGGAGGCTGAGGAAGCGGATCACGGGCCTGATCGTGGCGGTGGCGCAGAGGTCCGGCGGGCACGGGGAGCCGTCGTCGCTGGCGGACAAGGAGCGGAGCTGGGAGTCGTCCTTCATCCAGAAGCACTGGGCGCTGCAGCAGCTCCGGCGCGGCGACCAGCAGTCGTGGCGGCCGCAGCGCGGCCTGCCGGAGAAGTCCGTCGCCGTGCTCAAAGCCTGGATGTTCGAGAACTTCCTCCGCCCGTAAGTTTCACCTCTGCTTTGGACTTGGATAATAGCAATGGTTTTGAGTCTGAAGAATTTCAGCATTTTTTGTTAACTGAATGAACATGATATTTCTGGTCACAACTGAGAGATTTATCTGCAAGATGAACCGATCTTCTGATCCCTCGTGCCAGGTACCCGAAAGACCACGAGAAGGACATGCTGGCGGCGAGGAGCGGGCTGAGCAGGAGCCAGGTACAAAATACAAATCCCACGCTCACTTTTCACCACGGAAGCTCCGTTTTGCTGGAGAGACCAGAGCAAACTTGCAACAAGAAAAAAGCACCGTATGAAAATGTATGTTGCTGCGTTCCCCAGGTCTCCAACTGGTTCATCAACGCGCGCGTCCGGCTGTGGAAGCCGATGATCGAGGAGATGTACGAGGAGCTCAAGAGGAGCTCGGGGCGCAGCGGCGACGCCGCCGAGCTTCCGAGCAGCAAAGACGTCGTCGGCTAGGAAGGGGAGGGGATGGCCGAGGTTGGAACTGCACGGAGCCCTAGCCGTTGTGCTTTCTTCAGAGCTTCCGTGCAAGCATTGCTGGACAGCCAATGATGGGTCCTTCTGTCTCTCTGCCCATTGCTCATCATCTGATCCCTATCTATGTGGTACCCTGTAGTTCTCTTGCGTGTACATATAACTGCCACCCGGTGCCTGCGAGTTACGATTAAACGGAAACCTCTGTCGCATGATCGTTGATTGTTCATGACATAAGAGGTTTGAAAGATTGCGAGTTGCCCAGCAGACGAGTAGAAGCACGCTGCGTTGCTGTTACGGATTGGATCCTTTTTGCATCGCGCTGTTCCATGTTGCAATCGTGCCCTCGGTTTTGCTGACAACGGATCGCGCCGGCACATGAAATGTTCGGCACACGTTTTGGCTTCATGTGTGCGTCAATGCAAGTTGGACACTTGGAAATGCTATCTACTTGGTTTTGTTAGACATTGCATCTCCAATCGAACTAGGCAAATCCAGCTCCCTATACGTCTGCGGACGGGGCCTCATATTTCGCTTCAGGCATTGCACATATCTCAAATCCGGACCTTCAAATCCATACAAATGACTCTCAAATCCATGCAAATTCATGCATGTCGATCATACAAGTCATTCTCGCACGTAAATAACAAATGTTGGCACCGAACAAAATTATTGTTTACATAAAATTTATTTTAAGTGCACAACTCAAACATTAGCTCTTTGATTTTTATTGTAGGTCCACATATGCTCGACAAGATCATTGAGTAGTTGCGCGTGCACTTGATAATCTTGAAGATTCTGATGCATCCGCAGAAAGTTCATAAGCTGAGTTGCATCTTGATCTTCCGGGATTCGCACAATCTATCAGGTCAGGCGTGCCCAGCCCCCCTTATATCCGTCCCATATTTCAGCTAGATATGAGGGGTGTCTGTCATCCCGGGCGTCCGAGGCCCGTCTGGGTCAAAATTTCGTGACCGGCAGTGACCGGGCGGGCTGCCCGTGCGTTGAGGCCGCACGTTGCCGTTGATCCATATGCCGGCTTCCTCCACTATCGCGCCTAGCCCTCCGCCTCCTCCTGCTGCTCACACCGTGCTCACGCGCAGCCACAAGTCGCCGGCCAGGAATCCATTGTACTGCAGCGAATAGATTTCCAACCGCTCTCGCTTCTCACCTCGGTGTCGCCGCACATGACTGTCGCCAAGAGCAAGGCAAGCAAGCACAGTGCCCCACTGCTCGGCAAGTACGAGCTCGGCCGCCTCCTCGATTGTGGCACATGTGCTAAGGTCTATCACGCCTGCTCCCTCTTCGGCGGGGAGGCCGTGGCCATCAAGGTTCTTGACGGGCGTGTTTGGTTGCCGTGCGCTACAGTACCCGCATTGCATACACTTTTCCACCCAACCTGGCTATGCAAATGCAGCCTCAAATGCATCATATGCATGTTGTTTGGTTGCCTTCTTGTCCTCTTACCTGCATGGGCTGAACCACACTGCCTGGTGTTTGGTTTCCTGCATGTTAGTCCACAAACCCAAGGCATGGTGTTTGGTTGTATGTAAAGCCTGATATGTGGTAACCTCTTTGGCTAGTTGGTGAGGTTACCACCACACTTCGGCAGCACACATCATAAGCACAACAGAGTATAAATAGAGCATCAACTAGCATAATTCAGATATAAGCAGTACCACAGATATAACAGTTCAACGTATAAACCATAAACAAGTTCAAAGCAGACTCGATAGTACGCTCGAAAGAGGTGGCCCGGCCCTACTCCTTGGCGGCGAAGGCTTCGTCGTGCTTCCCGCACTTGTTGACGACCTCAATGCCATCGTCGTTGAAGATGATGACCTTGAGGGTGTCGGGAGTGAGGAGCTTAAACGTCACCATGTAGCCGATCTTGATCTGATGAATGGCTGCGTAGGTGGCCCAACCCTGATCCAGGGTTACCCTGACGTTCATCAGCTTGACCGTCACCTTCCAGGAGCAGCCGGTGTTGTTCCTGAGCTTGAACTCCGTCGGCACCGCGACGAAGTGCTTGGTGAAGTTCAGGGGCATGGGGATGCACTCAAGCTTCGGTGCAAGGATGACCTTGTAGAAATGAGTTGGGCAATCCTCCTGATGGTAGTGGTCGTAGTTGCGGCGCTTGTTGCTGGGGGGCTCCTCCATGCCCTCGTCGTCGCCACCCTCAGGCGTCTTCGGGTCTTCCTCGACGGTGGGCGGCAGCTCAACCTCGTCAGGCATTGGGTGAAGGGGCTTCTTGCTCTTGCTGTCAACGGTCAGGAGCACCTCCGTGCCCATCTCATTGCTATCCTTGATCTGCACACAAGTCATGGAGTCAGGCATTGCACAGAGTTCATGGCTAATTCAAGAGCTTGTAGTTAAAATGACATGATTGTCACTCTTCTCCTCCTCTCCACCCCCCTATATTTACTCACCGTGCCCACCACTATTTACCCACCCCCTCTCTTCTCTCACTGTCAACCTTCCTCCTCCCCATCGCCATGAGCACTAGCTCCATCTCCAACGGCAACCCCTTCCCTTGGGGTATTGGCTGGAGGGCCTTCTTCCTCGGGTGGACGGCTAGTGACCGGACCAAGTTCGAGAACACCATGGAGGTGTGCTCGAACTTCGGCTCCATGCCGGACATGCAGAACGAATCCAATGACGTGCTCATGAAGGCCACTAAAGATGAGCTGAAGACGCTGATTCCTGACCCAACGAAGGGCACGATGGCAGTTGACATCATTCGCTGGGCCATGAATCAGGCCGTCTACGACGAAACTAAATAGAGGAAGAAGTGGTGCAAGTACAAGACCTACTGGGCTCCTAATGACCGCCGTGCCGCAGTGTACTGGGAGACGGGTATCGCACCGCCGGCGGTCATCGGCGGGGAGCCTAAGGAGGAGGAAGAAGAGGCGGTTAGGACGCCGGAGTCAGTCCGTCCTATCTGGCAGATCGACCTCGACTCCGCCGAGGATGACGAGGACGACCCGCCAGCCCGCACGGCATTGAAGAAGAAGATGAAGGCCAGTGGCTCAACCAGCCGCTCCGCACGCCGGTGACGGCCGCCGCGGTCAGCCGGTGTCCGTTCTGTGCCCCCTTTCCCCCTATTCCCCTACCCCCCAATCCTGAAATCTACCGATCTTGCATGTATGAACTCGTATGAACTGCTATGAACTAGTATGAATTACCCTATGAACTAGCTACCTCTATTCCCCATTCACGTCCGCCGTGGATCAAATCTATCGTCGTGGATCGAATTAAGCGTTCATGTCGAAGAGAGAGAAGTGCTTACCGCCATTGATGGAGTCCGGTGGTCTTCTTCCTCGGCTCCGATCCGCCGCCGCCAGTGATGGAGTCCGGTGGTCTTCTTCCTCTGCTCCGATCCGCCGCCACCGGTGAGAGTTGGAAGAGTGGGGAAGAGTGGGGAGAGGGAGCGGTGAGGGGTGGTGAGGCTAATGACTATCGGTGCTTCGGGAAGCAACGCGGCTTATCGAGGGTGGCCGCACGCGTGCAGCCGCGCCCGCCCACGTGCACCGCTCGGGCCTGGCCCTGGAGAAACTATCGATTCGTGCATTCCCAGTGAGCCAGGCCCTGAGGTGCTTTAAGCAGCGTGCGATGCAGGCCCAATAGTGTATGCGGGCTACCAAACAGGTCGAATCCTTCCCGTGCGGGCCTGGTTGGACCTTATGCGGGCAACAAAACACGCCCGACAAGCCTGGGTTCGGTGTCACCGGCATGGACGCACACGTGCTTGGTGAGGTCTCAGCATATGCGGCGCGATGGATCTTCCCCCAGCTTGTCTCCGCGCTCATCTACTGTGACGCGCGCGCCATCTCCCACCATGACGTCAAGCCGCAAAACGTTCTCGACGACGTTGGCCGCAACCTCAAGGTTTGCGACTTCGGCCTCACCGCACTCCTAGAGTCCCACCATGCAAAGTATGTGGTCAACAAAATGCATGAAGCAAATGTAAATTTAACTCCATTAAGTTTAGGAGTCCGGTTAGAAATGACCATTTTTTAGAAGAAAAAAAATACTTGGTCGTTTACTCTAAATTTCAAGAGGATCGGTTAGAGTTGTTCTAATGGCGAACACATGTGTGTTAGGCTCTCTTAGGTGAAATGTTTGAGCACCTTTAGGCCCTGTTTATTTGGGCTTCTGACGATTCAAATGTGGACTTGGTGTGCTGACAAAACTGTTGCATTGAAGGTTAGCTGTTTTTCCCTGGCCAAAGTTGCCTCTGTTTGTCAATGATTCAAAGCCGATTAAGATTTGGCAAGCTGGAGATTGCTTGGGGGAGCAGCCGCTCGAGCTGGTGAGTACTAGCAAACTCCATTTACATACTAACTCAAAAAAATTGGTTTGGTACAAATTGAACAAGACACTTATTGTTGGGAAACGTTGCATGTAAAATAAAAAAATTCAACGCACACGCAAGATCTATCAAGGAGATGCATAGCAATGAGAGAGGGGAGTGTGTCTACGTACCCTCATAGACCGTAAGAGGAAGCGTTTGACAACGCAGTTGATATAGTCGAACTTCTTCGTGATCCAACCGGCCGAGCACCGAACGTACGACACATCCGCGTTCAACACATGTTCAGCTCGATGACGTCCTCCGCCTTCTTGATCCAGCAAGACGGCGAGGTAGTGGATGAGTTCCGGTAGCACGATGGTGCGGTGACGGTGATGGTGAAGTGATCTTTATAGGGCTTCACCTAAGCACTATGAAAATATGACCATGGGTGTAAACGATGGAGGGGGACGCCGCACACGGCTAGGCAATTGTCTATTATGTGCTAGGCGCCCCCGCCCACATATATATAGGTGGGAGGGAGGGAGGAGCAGCCAAAGGGGGTGCCCAAGTAGGAGGAATCCTACTTGGGGTATCTCCCAAGCCGCGCCTCCCTACCTTGTATAGGTGCGGGGGAAAGGCAGGGGAGGGTGCCCCCCCCTTTCCTTTCTCCCATGAGAGGGAAAGGCAG